TCGCGAGGCGACACGAAATCACCATTGAAATTGGAGAAGATTTAAAATTAAAAGTTAATTAATAGAAATTGATCACATTGTTTCAATTTTGAAATAAAATGATAATTTCCATTATTAACAAAATTATAAATAATTAAAAATAAATTTGAATGTGTTTAATAATAAAAAAAATAAAATAAAAGGTGAAATGTATGAAATAACAGATGTTTAATTAATAATTGAAAATAATTTATTACAGTTCAAAAATTCTAATCAAGCACCTAACAAATTGAAAATGTTAATGAAGATTTAACATTTTCTTAAAAATCTATCGTAAACTCAGCACAATCATAACAACAACCAACGTTCAATCAGATCATTCAAAATCAAACACAAATCGAAACACTTTTGCTCATAGATCCAAACACACACAAACAATTGCGAGCTCGCTTGCATTCAAACCAAAACAACACACAATAACATACAATATTCAGATTTTGGAAATATGAGAGAAACTTTCCAAAATACTGAAAGAAAAACGAATTTGCTTAAGGGTGGCCAACCCTAAATATAGAATTTCCTGAACTATAATAATTTAAATATCAAAATAGCAAAGAAGTAAAATTCAAAAAATGCAGATTGTAATAATCTGCTGCGTTTAAACATTTGTTATTTTTGGGTAATTAAGTGAGGATAAATATTTCAAAATAATAATACAACTTCAATATAAATTATACATATGTAGAACCAAAATCAAATTAACAAAATTATTATCATTACGAAACTAATGGGAAAAATAAAATCACATTCAAATTAACTTAAATTAAATTGATTAAAATATAATCAATTAATTGATGAAAGCAATTGGAATTAAAATTGAGATCTTCTCCAAATCAATAGTAATTTAATGCAATCTAAACTAAAACATGTAAATAAAACGGAAATACGGACAAGAACAAAGGGAATCAATTAATTAATAATTTCGAATTGGCGCATTAATTTCAAAATATAAAAACCTGAAAATAATTGAAAAGAATTTAAGAAAAGGAGTTAAAATTGGCGTAGTAATAATTGAAATTATAAAAACCTGAGAAGAAGTTAAGAAAAAGATGCAAAATTAATTAAAAATTTAGAATAGGCGTAGTAATCAAAATTGAATTATGAAAACCTGAAAAGAATTTAAGAAAATAATTGAAATTATTAAAAATATTCTTAGACTGAGGAGGGAGGGCTGCTTGTTTTGAATCCCGTGTGGTATAAAATCACTTACTACTTGATGTCTTCATTACCATCTGCATCTCTGCACATCTCCATCTCAGCCCTCGTTGTTGGTCACGA